ACAAAGTTAAATAGGAGGAATTAGAAATGTATCACATGAACATTACAAAGATATGTAAAAGAAATTTGTTAATGACTCATTTTAAGCAGTCATTTGCAAATCCCTCACGTGTTGCATTTCTAATCTCGCATATCTATCTTTTTGTGATTCATTTCTTCATGACTATGTCTAAATTCTCCTAAAATTCCTCTCTTAGATCTTATGTGCCCCTCTTTTTTTTGTTTCTCACTCACTCATGTCTAAATCTTGTCGAGTTGCATATATTTAGTTGTACAAATGAGCATTAAATTGTTAATATCATGCAATGTATAAAATGTAAAATATTGTACTAATTCATTATATATAAATGATTATGGTGTGTTTAAACTTCTTTCATTAATTACTACATTTTCTACACTCACAATGTTTGCCAGCTCGCTATATAATCAACTTGATAATGTTAAATCCATCATGCAATGCATTTCCTTCCAATTTTTTGTGATAAACTAATAGATAATTGACTAAATAAACATCCTGCAAAGTTGCAATAAAAATTTCCAAGTTTTTCTTACAATTTCCGTGGTTTCCATGTAATTTTTATCGATATCGATATTATCCCGATATTTCCGTGTTTTCGGACTACCGATATTTCCGATATTACCGATATTTTCTTCCTTGGTCGGAACCACCTAAAGTGGTATGTATGACAGGACTGGGTGTAAATAAATACGGTCAAGTGCTACGATCACGTGAAGACTGTGTGAATAATCGCGGGTCACCTATGAGTCGGAACCACCTAAAGTGGTATGTACGACATAACTGTGCACCTACCTTGGATCCAAGGTAAGCGTAAGGTGCGGGAGGTGAACATTACGTGAAGGACTGTGCCCTGGCCACGGGTGGGAGCACTAACATCGGGGTGCAGGTTTATGAGCTCTCAATGCATCTCAATGTAACATGTACGACTCATGGGCAATCCGTACGATAGTGTCGGAGTTGCCTATCATTGCAACCTGTACGACAAGGTCAGAGTTGCCTAAAATATGCATGTAGTCATGCCATAACTCCATCATTTCAACTAATACCATAAACTCACCTAAACTTACCTGGGTGTCTTGCGTTCACCTTTGCACTTTAAGCATTCACAATAATTATGTGCAGGTAATATACATATAGATAAACCCTGATGCAATCTTATACTCAAACATGTTATAGCATTTTCAATTGTATACATAAACATATATATATACACACACATAATGGCGTAAAAAATTGCATAAGCTATAACACCTTACTCCCGAACTATTTATTTTCGGGAATAATTATTGGTGATAAGCCCAACTAGACACTAGTTTAATGAATTATTATTACTTACGTTTCCTTATTTCAAATTGTTGATTATTCACACATTGATTTATGACCAACATTTAACCACTAAATCATAAGGTTAAACCTCACATTTTCCACCAATGTCTCTTACATTGCTCAATTCCCTAAACAAGGCTATTGTCTTAAGTCTCATTTATTGTATGGCTGCATCTAACGTCTCGTTAGACTGTCTACGTACCCTAAACAAGGATCAAGCCATTTGTAGTTCACATTAGTACATCAAAGCATTCACAGTAATTATATGCAATAATCAATTTATAACCGTATATGGAATTATCAATCATATATATATATACATACATATATACGATAGAAAAGAAAGGACCCACTCACCTGAGATTCGCGCCATGACTCCCTAGCACGAATATCGAGACGTCACGAACAATCGTCGCTTGTGACTAAGGCCAATTAGGCCGTGAAGAGCTCCAATTTCACTCAAATCTGTCGGAAACCCTAGAATGGGTGCTCTTCGATTCTCCTTTCTCGGCGTTCCAACGTCCCTACAACTGGTTGGGTCTTGTTCCCGAGTCCAAGGGGAGTTGATTAAGGATGGTAATGGGTGGTGAAACTCGCCGGAAAGGAGAAATCGCCGTCGAGCACCTTCGGTGCTCCAGTGAAGTTCCTCACGGGTTCGAACCTAAAAACCCTTAAATATAGATGGAGATGGTAGAGGGAAGGGTGTGGAAGAGGTTGCAGGTGATGAAGGGGTGAAACCTGCTTGAAAAATGGTGGAGGACCGCCGAAAAACCACCCCGAGTCGAAGCCGGGTTTTCTGCATATGTATGGCAACGGGAAGGGGAAGGGAAGGCTGAGAGCTTCCATTTCTCCTCTCCTAATTGGTGGAAAGGTTATTTTTTTTTATTTATATATATTTTTTCTCATTTAATTGGTCCCTATTTTCTATCCTTGAAGTTGATTGGCTTCTTTCCCACAAGGTGAGAGTTCAATAATATAGTAATCTGAAATGTAGGTAACAAATTTCAAACGTTCGTAACTATACCGTTATAATTCGGACTCGCAAACGACTTTCGCTTATACATTCGTACCATCGAGTATTACGCAAATACCTCAAAAGAATAAGTCATACGTTATTCTAGACGATGGTCAATAGAAATCAAAATCTTTGCCTCTAGACATTTTTGTCAATTCCCTCGATTAAAAATAAATAAAAACGAAATTTTAGGGACGGGTTGTCACAATTAGTGGCTCGAAAAAACTCTTTCTCAACCAAATTCCAGCTCGTTCCAATAAGTGAAATATTACTTTTTTGGTTCCTAGCACTGTTGACATCAGAATACCAATTTGATGAACCTAAGGCCATTTCTAACCGAAGGGTCCAGAGGGTTAGAGGGTCGAAAATAGCTCGAAAATCGTCTCCAACCGAGGGATAGGCCAAAGGGCTCGTGGGCCCCACTGAACAAAAAATGACCAAGGGGCCAATCAGTTGGCCTAACCCAACTAGCCAACCCTGGGGCGGGCCAGAAATTTGAATGCAACGGCTAACTGCTATATTTGAATATTTTTTTTGGGCCAAATTTTTATAAAATATTTAATTATAGGCCCAAAAAGCTGATTAGTTCAATATTGGGGTGCCACACATGCAAGCCAAACTTTTATAAGCATGTTTGCTTGCCAAAATCTCTCTTGCAGCTGATGTGGAACAAATATAATGGGCGCCACACATGCAAGCTTTTGTTTGCTCAATTCTCTTCCACGGCCGATGTGGGACAACTATAATGGGTGCCCCAAATATAAGCTTCCTATTAGAGATGGTAAATGTGCATTTATACATGTACCTATCTCAAACTAAGTTGTACTAGTAATTGGATACTTAAATTAAAAAAATTAATTTAACATAAAACTGTTAATGGCCGCAAGTAGACATGAAAACGATGCCAATTACTACGATGAAGTAAATGTTTTCACAATTTATTTTAAATAGTTAATTATGTTTGGCTTTATGGCCCTTTGGTCCTTGGTTGGAAATGATTTTTTGTAACAGGGCTAAAACGAGCACTATAACTCTTTGACCCTCGATTAGAGATAATAAGAAATATGACCTTGAACTGTTTATTAAAATATTAATTTGTTAGAAGTTCAGAGGGCTAAAACATACTCTTTGGCCCTCTTTTGATTGAAGATGACTTAACCCAGCGAAGATACCAAGACCAAGACCAAAAGAGAGAAGTAAGAGAGGGGGAGGAATGTGGGTCATGGAGGCCCTAGAGGACTCTATGCCCTAAGAAAGGGCAATCTGATGAGGACATCTAGGTTGGTACTCGGGTAGGGGTCCGTCTGTCCAATGGCAATAAGGGCTGGTTTGGTATTGCTGTGCTTTGAAAAAAAGCTGCTGTGAGAATAAGCGGTTGTGCTGTGAGAATAAGCGGCTGTGAAATAAATCAGCAGAGTGTTTGGTAAACTTTTTTGTAAAAGTGCTTTTGGAAAAAAAAAAACAGTCTAATAGTGGGTCTTTTCATTAAAGAAGCACTGTAGCTCCGTGTGCTTTGAAAAAAAGTCAATTTTCCAAAGCTGCAAATAGCAGCTTCAGCTTTTTCCTTTGATTTCAGCTTATTCTCACAGCAGCTTCCAAAATAAGCCATTTTTTTTCAGTTTACCAAACACCTAAAACCCTCACAGCTTTTTTTCATGGGTGCTTTTTTTTAAGCACCTCACTCCCAAACTAGGTCTAAGCCCCAGTTTGGGGTTGAGGTGATTTTAAAAAAAGCTCTTATGAAAAAAAGCTGGGAGTGTTTTTGGTGTTTGGTAAACTTAAAAAAAAAGGCTTATTTTGGAAGCTGCTGTGAGAATAAGCTGAAATCAAAGGAAAAAGCTGAAGCGACAATTTGTAGCTTTGGAAAACTGGCTTTTTTTCAAAGCACATAGAACTACAATGCTCTTTTAATGAAAAGATCCACTATCAGACTGCTTTTTTTTCCAAAAGCACTTTTACAAAAAAGTTTACCAAACACTCTGCTGATTTATTTCACAGCCGCTTATTCTCACAGCACAACCGCTTATTCTCACAGCAGTTTTTTTTCAAAGCATAGCAATATCAAACCAGCCCTAAGTCTTTCCTTTCGTATGGTCAGAGATACTTAGGGCTGGTTTGGTATTGCTGTGCTTTGAAAAAAAGCTGTTGTGAAAATAAGCGGCTGTGCTGTGAGAATAAGCGGCTGTGAAATAAATCAGCAGAGTGTTTGGTAAACTTTTTTATAAAAGTGCTTTTGGAAAAAAAAGCAGTCAAATAGTGGGTCTTTTCATTAAAGAAGCACTGTAGCTCCATGTGCTTTGAAAAAAAGCCATTTTTCCAAAGCTGCAAATAGCAGCTTCAGCTTTTTCCTTTGATTTCAGCTTATTCTCACAGCAGCTTCCAAAATAAGCCATTTTTTTTTCAGTTTACCAAACACCTAAAACCCTCACAACTTTTTTTCATCGGTGCTTTTTTTTTAAGCACCTCACTCCCAAACTAGGTCTTACACCCCACCACACCTCCCGTCAGGCCTCACTCACCGGATCAGATTAAAGAAAAAGGTCAAAGTACTCTCCCTCTCTCTCTGTCCTGCTCAGTTAGTAGTTCACTGTTCACACACAAAACTCTCTCACACACACACAACTTCATTCAGAAGCTCAAATTTTCATTTCATTTTTTTTTCTCCCCAACCCCTTTCCCTTTGTCTTTTCCTCCCTCCTTTTTTTCCCCTTTTCCACCTCCTGCATTTTCCAGTCCAAACCCTAGACTTCAAATCTAGGGTTTTGTTCTGTTGCTGGGTCTGAGGCAGTCGCTCAAGAGCTGCCAGGTTGTTATTCTTGCTTCTCTGTAGCCCCCTGAGCTCCGGATTTTCTACATTTTGGTTTTTGCTGGATATTTTGTGTGATGGGTCTGTAGGGGTCCTAATGTTCAGGTTCTGCAGTCACTTGGTTACTTGTTTCTGTGGGTAAAGGTCCGAACTTTTTAGGGTTTTTAGATTTTTCTGGAACTTAAAGCAAAACCCTTTTTTATAAGCTCACTCTGTTTTTGTATTTTGAAGATTTAGGGTTAAAGGGGATTTATTTCCCCTCTTTTTTTTTTTTTTTGGTTTTTGAAAATAATGTTATAACGTTTCCCCCATTTTGTTTGAATTTTCTGTTTTCTGTAAAATTGACTAAGAGGGTTGTAGAAACAATCTTTAGGTGACAAAGAGTTGAGGTTTTTAGTGACAAATCTCTTAGTAAATGCATGGATGGGAGGGAAGCAATGGGATTGTCTGGTGGGTCAGCTTCATACTACATCAGTAGGGGAGGAGGGGTTGGTGGGTCTATACCTGGATCACAGGCTGGCGGCGGTGGCGGACTTCACCATGCTGCACTTGGGTTCAGGTCCATCTCAAACACCCTCATCCAACCTCAGTCCAATGTGAGGGTCAGCTCTGTGGGATCAACGTTCTCAGTGGAGCCTTCAAGACCCAATTTTGAACATCATGGCAGTACCATGAATGTCACTCCCGGAGCGCCTTCAGCTCAGCCTGTAAAGAAGAAAAGAGGGAGGCCCCGGAAGTATGTCCCCGATGGGTCAGTTTCTCTGGGGTTGTCTCCCATGTCGGCAACACCTACTCCTACACCGGGTTCAACCAGTCCGACCCCGAAACGTAGTAGAGGGAGGCCACCTGGGAGTGGTAGGAAGCAACAGTTGGCTGCTCTTGGTAAATCTCTGTGCAATTGCTAACACCCCTTTTTATGTCTTACTTTTGTTTGCTTCCGGTTCTAATTTTATCAATTTTTCTAAATTTAGTTGGCTAGCATGTAGTGGCCCATTATTGTTTAGCATTTTCTTATCAATTTCGTTCATTCAATTTCTATAGATGGTGGTTAATTCATGCCAATTCTGCTTATGTTAGTAAACTTCCCCCATTTTGTAAATTACGAGTAATGTCCTTGAGGTGCTCACTAACAAACGACTGTTTTTAGCACAAACATCTAAAGATGTCAGAAGCAGAGATGCATGTAGAAGTAACAGTCATGGATTCTGGTGTTATAGTTGTTTTATGTACGCTACACTTGATTTTTTATTTTTTTTTATCGTTGTGGTTAGACGTTTGTAATTTTCCAGTTCAAGTTTTTCTATTTCTCACATGTTTTATAAGGGCGGCTTATTCTTACTATGTCTTTGACGTTTTAAACTGTTTTCATAGGAGATTGGATGAACACTTCGGCTGGATTAGCTTTTGCACCCCATGTTATCACCATTGGAGTTGGAGAGGTATGCTAGACACCGCTCATATTAGTAAGATACTAAGAATTGATGTCACAAACATTTTGTGCTCTAACAATGGAGTTGCTCCAATGTGTTGTGCTCAACAGTCCCTCCGTGAGGACACTGGAGGTTGTCGTTGTTTATTGTCTTTGTTTAATTATGATTTCAACCTGCATAAGCTCTTAAATTCATGCATAAGGAAAAGAAAACAGATGAATACCAGAAATGGGCACTGATCATTCTTACCGGCCCCTATTAGGCTTGCTTCAGATAACCAACTAGAAGCTTCTGACCAAATAGTTTTTAGAATATTGAAGTGTATGTTTATGGATCATAAATCTATAGAGCTACACTATTATAATTTTGCATAATGCTTTACCTATTATTATGTTAAAGCCCGGTCGGAATTATTAGAAGTTAGAACATGTAAATATCAGTTGAATGGCCATATCACTAGGATTCCAGAAAGTCAAGATACATAGTACGTACATTTGAAAAAACACACGCAAGTCAGGCTACTCTATATGCATGCAACACTTGTCTGTCTACTGTTTCCTTACTGATTTCTGTAGTGTCTGGTTATTGGTGAAGGTCTTTATGTCATTGTCTTGAACTTGCTTTTGAATGATAGTTATCTGTTGATTTATTGCTTAAATGCATATGAACTCCTGCCTCAGTTAAACATTTTTCCTTATTGTTTTTCAATAGGACATTGCAGCAAAATTATTGTTATTCGCACAACAGAGACCAAGGGCGCTATGCATATTGTCTGGAAATGGTGCAGTGTCTTCTGTAACTCTACGCGAGCCTGCATCTACTGGTGTCAGTGTCACATATGAGGTTAACTCAATTTTCTCTTTAATCTTGCGTGTTATGGCGCGTAAGAAAGAATTCCATTTTAGATACTTTTCCTTCTATGTTGGACTATATCTAAATTATGGATAATTCCAATTCAAAAGTGGGATATGATGCCACATGTTTCTTATTTATAAAAACATTTCTTGCAAATACCAAAGTTGGCAACTTAGTTGAGTTAGTGAAGTGTTGTAACGTTTATGATCGCAAAGAGCTGTCCACTTCCAGGCTCATTGTGTAAGTTTGTGGTTGGTTATATGTATAGTACATCTCATTTTCTGTAAAAATTTGAACATTTTTAGTTCCTAATGAGAAATTAGGGCAGTAATTAAGTACGTATCAGCAGAAGAAATAATTCCATTTTAGTTCCTTTTCCTTCTATATAGGACCATATCTCAGTTAGAATTTCTATTCCAAAACTAGGATAGGAAGCTGCAAATTTTCTTCTATTTGTTTAAATCATTTCGTGCAAATACCGTAAGTTGTAACTGTAGTTCAGTTGTTGAGCATTATAATGTTTATGATTGCTAAGAGCTGTCGCTCATTGTGTAAATTTGTGATTGGTTATAGTTATAGTGCATTTCATTTTCTTTTAATAGTTTGAGCACTATGTTTGGTTCAAATAGCTGATGGGAAAGGGAAACTAGTGCAGTAATTAACTACTTATCAAATACATATGGGGCAGAAAAACAGTTGGTAATGGTATACAATGTGCCAACACGGCCTTCGGGCCACCAGTAGAATTAGAACTAACGAAAGAATAGCATGAAAAGGAGATAAATGAAGTGGGCTAGGAGGCAGGGAGTCTGTTTGGAGAATGTCTATGTTGCACCAATACTTCAAATTTGGACAAGGGTGAGTATCGGATGCCTACACCCTCATGATACCTTCCGATACGCATCAGATACTCCATTTGGAGTATCATTGACTTTTTGTGGTGTTGACTATAGGATACTTGTACTCCTAGCATACGGTCAAGATAAAATATTAATCTTGACTTAATTAAGTTAGGAATTTGGGTTGTTGTAGTTTCTAAATTCCGTTGTTCTTGTGGATTTGGTAGAGTCACCGGGACATTTAGAGATGGATGTAGACCCATCGGACAGGGATAATCATTCCGTTCCTGGGATTGGTGGGGACCATTCTCAAAAATCATAAATACTGAGCAGTGAGTTATTTTATTAATGTTAAAAGATAAACATGAATGCTTCACTCTTTTGTTATTGAACGTATATAATGACATATGAACCCTGTGGAATATAGTTTTAAAAATATATATTAGTTTAATTTCCATATCGTATCCTTATTTTTTTAGAGATTTGCCGTGCTAGCGTGTACCGTATGGTACTGGATATCCCCATCTGTACCTTTATCCGTGCAACATTGGAGGATGGTAAGGAAAAAAACTCTTAACATTTGTTTACGGTTTGGGGTTTTAATCTATACTGTGATGTTCATGGTTTTTGAGGCAGGCAATTTAAATCTGCCTCGGGGAAGGTTGCTTGCATGCTTAGTTAGATGTAGAAGGATTTGTCAAAGGGTCTTGTAAATTGTAGATGTCCACATATGACAGCACACTCTTACTGTTTGATGATTTAATGGGTTGATGGTGGCTGTAACAGCTGCAAGTCTCAGTGAGATCGCCAGATAATCAGATGGTAGAATCAGGAGATGCTTATGGTGATTGCCGTTGAGGCTGTTGCCAACCCTTCTTAGTGGCCGAACGTAATATAGTTCAGTGGATTGGTCAATGCTTATTAGTAAGAGGAGAAAAGGTGCCATTATGAGTGGGGTTAACTGTTAGAAGCAGGTTAAACATTGTTACTCTGACAGTAATTAGTTCAGAATCCCTGATACTATCCAGGTTTTAAGTAGGCTGGGATGCCTACTTCCATCTCAAAGAGTATCAACATTTCTCTTTTAGTTGTTCCATTCTGGAGCAGCTCAAAAGGTTTACATATTCTTCCCAGAAATGTGTTCTTAACTTTATCAAGTAAATTGTCTATCACAGTATTCAGCGCTGAAATAGTGAATCATTGCTCATAAAAATGCACTTACTTTTGCAAGTCCAGTTTTTGCAATAATTAGCTTATTTTCTCCCTTTAACTTGATTGTTTATGTGGCTCTGCAGGGTCGGTTCCAGATATTATGCTTGTCAGGTTCGTACTTAGTTGCCGAGGATGGTGGACCTCGCAATCGAACAGGGGGAATAAGTGTTTCCCTTTCTAATCCTAATGGTCATGTCATTGGTGGTGCTGTCGCAGTGCTTATTGCAGCAACTCCAGTGCAGGTATTTTGTTTACTGCTCAGTAATTTGTTCAACGTTTCTAGGCTGAATGCTAATGTTTTATTTCCTGCTGGTTGTCTGCACTTGCACACATGTCGTGACATTTGATATTTGTCTAGCATCGGATGATCTTAGAAGCACTTTTATCAGTTCTAATTGTAGTGAAGGAATGCAGATGCCTATTGAAGATCCGATTCATGTGTTGTTGCAGGTTGTGCTTTGCAGTTTTGTATATGGTAGCTCAAAGACCAAGAACAAGCAAGTGGCTGGTCCCAATAGCGATGAGAATTCCGAGCCACAGCATAGCGAGAAATTGGCTCTACCAAGCAGTGCCCCACCTACTCAAAATTATAATCCCTCCGGTGCAGGCATTTGGCCTGGATCGCGGCAAGTTGATTTGAGAAATGGCCACACTGGTATTGACTTGACTCGCGGATGAAGATACGCTGCAACAGACATGCCGGTTTTGTATATGTGTTGTTGTAAATGAACTGCATCTGTGAGAAGGGTAACTTGACGACCCTTCACCCACCGGCGGTTAAACAAGTTTATGCTAACATAGTCTGTAACAAAATCCATTACTCTGGGAGATGTTTCGGTGACATAATTCACCCATTGAGGAAGTTTCAAGTAGTGTGGAGGTTAAGATACTCATCTGTAGCAAGATATTCTTTTGGCTTTTAGGTGGAAACTTCCTATTGAATCAAAAGTCCTTTTGAAGTTCGTAACCATTTCAAAATCACAATTTGCAGAATTGTATGCCGCACATGTATGGATGAATGAGCTTCTCTTTCTTTTTGTACAATCTTCAGAGCAACTTGTGTTTTGCTATCATGGTGATGGAGCATCTCCTGTTCTGTTCGGGGCTTGTTGGTAGTGATTCATTAATAGGGACATAATCACTTTTGGGAAAAGCTATTATAGCCTCAGAAGTGATTATAGCCCCTTCTAATGACGGCCCTGCTATTGTCTTTGATTTGTTTGGTATCTTGATATGTGGTTCCATGTGTACCAATCTGGAACCATTAGGATGTTTACCACTTTTGTTAAACTATGATCGTAAGGGAGTGTTTTGGGGACAACAGTGCTTGTATTGATCGGAAAAACATAAAGCACAGCGAAGAATGCTCGTCCCCCGTCTGCTCAAACAGGTGTGAGTTAGGCGATGGTGGCGTGACCATATCGGACCTTTATTTCGTGAATGCCAGCAGACGGGCATTTTCTTCAAAAAATGTGTCCACGAAATTAGCGTCTTTAAACTCCTAACAACCAATTAACAGACCAGGTTTTACGAGATTTAAAGGAAACTAGATGAAGCTAGTGAGTTTTTGTATCACAGGTCACTGTCAAAGATGGTTCGGAACAATGTCAATCATCAAACAAAGAACAGAAATCGTTTTGTTCAATTAGTGAATCTGGCGGGGAGCACCCTCGGGTTAACGCCTTTGCATCTCACAGTATTCATGAGGCTTCCAATAGCCTGTTTATGTCATGCTGCAAAAATAATACGATGTTAAACAGCTGAGTACTTGACAAAACCTACCGATGATCACTGCAATAAACAACAGAAGCAGCATAACATTATATTTGAGAATTCGACGTCCAGGTTTTCACCTGAAGGCTAAGGGGTGAAGTTGTTGGGTAATAACGACCGACAGGTTTCCCCTGCTTGTCAACAAGAAACTTAGCAAAGTTCCACTGGATATCGTCATCGAAGAATCCCCATTTGCCTAACTTCAAGAACTTGTACAACGGAGCAGTATTAAACCCGTTTACTTCAATCTAAAACAAGAACAAAAATGGTAAATTTAAAAGTGTGCAATAATTACAACGTCCAAGAACACATCTAAAACTCTTAACCTGCAAAATTCCTAACGGGAGTTATATGAAATTCTAGAAGTTTAAGTTTGTTAGCATGCACATAGTTACAATGCAGTTGTTCGTCGTTTTACAAAGCCAATGCATGAGGCATCCAGTCGAACAATCTTCTGGCTTGCCTAAAAGTCTAATATGTTTACACTTTTGGAAAGCAGATGCAACATAACCTAGTGTTTCGATTCTGAATCTACCTTGTTAAAAATTGGGAATGCTGTTTTGAAACGAGTGCAGGCAAACTCTTGAATCTGTTCATTACTTCCTGGTTCCTGAGCAGCAAACTGGTTACACGGAAATGCCAGAATCTCCAAGCCTGCGCCGCACCCCCGGTACATCATACAAAGGAGAAGAAGTAAAGAGAAAAATAGAAATATTTCAGTAACCTTTTGACCTAGTAATTGAGTTTATGATGAAAATGTTTTTTCATATTACAAAACTGAGGGAATTCTTGTTCTTCTCATAAATTAGACTGTTGCAGAAGCAAAACAGTATAAATTTAATTACTAGAAGAAAAAAAGCTTCATCGATCGATGGCAGCTGAAGACTAAATTTTCTAGAAACCTGATTGTTACAGTTAAATTTTTTAATGGTTATTAAAATGGCGGGCATGAAAAAATAACATCAGCTCAGAATCCATACCTTTATCTTTATACTTTTGATATAGTTGATTAAACTCCGTGTAGTTTTCATCCGTCAATCCACTGCGCAAATCAGTGAAACGAAAATCAACAATCAACAAAGAACTTTGCATTTTTTTGGTTAAAATATTACGAAGAACGAAAAAAATGCCAGAAAGGTGATTATAAGGAATACCATTGGGAAGCAACATTAACAATCACTAGAACCTTTCCCCGGTACATGCTAAGATTCACATCCTTTCCTTTAACATCCTGCACAAAACATATAAAGTAGCAACCATCAGATGAACTATAAATCAAGATACAATAAAACTACTTCTATCCAACATATGAATTTCGTTTATGGATTTGTACAGCTAGAGAGAAAGAACACATTCAACGCAATCACATATTTTCGAAACTATCTACCTTTTACTATATTTACAGTTTGAAGAACATTTGGCGTTGAATACGTGTATTAGAGCACAGCTGGGTGTAGGTACAAGATACCATTTTCATGTCTGGTAAACACACTCTTGAGAATGTGATACCTGCTGCATGGGTATTAACTTTCACATGAGCATGAATTTCATATCAACTGGCTTCCCTCAAGAATTTTTTTCCCATCATTTTGAAGAGCAAGCATTATTTTTTGACTAATTTACACTACTTGTAATTAAAATACCGACCTGATAGAACGTTATTATTGAAAAACAGAACAAATTTTGATTCCCACTACTTTGTAAAACAAACATGGGAACGGGAGAAATGGCGACATCAAAATTTTCCATTTCCCAGCGTTTCCAAACACGAAATCAAAATTTTCCATTCCCATCTCCTGACAATAGACATGGGAGTTTTCTTCCCAAAGAACCTATTCCGTGAACTAAACGACCAGTACTGATATTAAACAGCAAGACAGAGAGAGGAGAAATGCAAAAACTAATTGAAGATAGGCTTGTTTACCTTGACAGTGTATTCGTAAATTGTTCCAGTTGGGAACTCATTGGGTTGGCTTATCGTTTTACAATCTGGTCCCAACTCTGAAGTACCACCTGCTAGTAAAAGTCACAAACCAGCCAAATTAAGGAACACATGAACTATGCCTGTCACTTTCACGTTCTTATTTTGGGTTGATTGTAGCAGCACACTCACTACTTAACAACGCTACGCTTGTTCTACATTTCAGAAAAAGCTATAGAGCAGTTTAAAATATCGCATGTTTATTTTGGGTTGATGCATGGTAGTGCGCTTGAAATCTCCCCTTCCGTTTAGAGTAGTTGGAGTATCATTTAACAAAAAAAAAAAAAAAAAAAAAAAAAAAAAAAAAAAAAACCCCTAAAGATTACTGGCGAAAACTGCAACATTGGCACATTAGGGTAAATGAAAAGTAAAAACACAGGTTAAATGATTAAATGCAACTTTTGCACCCAAGATAAAATGTGAACGAAAATTGCACAACCATAGCAAGTTCTGTACAAAACTAAATTAGGGTAAAAAAAAAAAGAAAAAAAGAACAGAAGCTTTATCTTGCCTCGGGGAATTGCTGTAAAGCAACCAGAAATCTTGTTTCCCATGGAAGATATGGCCAACGAGAAATAAGATCGACAGAAGGGGATGTTGGAAATCAACTCCACACCACAAAATCAGCAAGAATCCCTTAAGTGATGCTTTCTACGAAATCAGCTCTTTAGTGCTTGAAATTATGATGGAGATGCAATTCAGAGTGGAGTGGTGGTTCCCCTTTCCTGACGGTGGAGATGAAATAACGATGGTAGTTCAGCCATTCTTTTTCCTTAGAACGGTGGACGTTGTTTAGTTTTGCATGCTGCTTTACACATGTTTAGAATGAATAAAATAAACTTGGACTTTTATAATGAATAAAATAAACATGGAATTTTGACAAAAACCAGAATTTATAAATTGACGTACATAAATTTTATCATTTGGATTCATAGACAAAGAAATTTAGAATTTCTTCGTGTAAAAATACTTGGAACTTGAGACTTCTATTCCCGAGTTTAAATTCTATATAAGTATGTGTTATTTCCAAATTTCTACGAGTGAGAGTTTAAAAATAAAAATTTATGTGTTCAAATTCCATTATACTTTTAGTTTAACTAAAACAAGAAAATTTACAAATTTTAGAAAATAAAATTATATCATTTTAAAATTTCTTAGGAATCTTAAATTTCCTCATCCAAACACAATTTTAGAGTTTTTTCCTCTCTTCATTTGCAAAATTGTTAAAAAACTAAGGATGGAATTCTAATAATTGTGTAAACTAGAAGTAGAAATTCTGTTGGATCTAGAAGATCCTCTCCTTATACAACTTGTATTAATTGTAGGGCAAGTAAATTTTGTCATAAATAAGGGCACTAAGTATCAGGAATTATACATAGAAATATAGAATACCGCAAGCCCTTCTCTCCTTCTCTCTTCTCTAACGGCCATCCCCCTCTTCTCTAACGGCCATCCCCCTATCCATCTCCGAAAACGAACACTCATTCAATACTTGACTTTGCTGGTTGAAAGAAAACTCCGTTTATTTTCATATGCAATTATGAGATGGATTACTTTGGATCAACTGCTGATCTAAATCGAAAGTTTTACGGCTTTCAAAAAACTAGAAGGGGACGGGGAGGCCCTCGAAACCAAACGAGCCTAAAAGGAACATGGGAATTAGCACCATTCCTATGATTTGTCTCGAAAAGCCAACGAGGAGCTCTCTCTCTCTATCTCGGTCTCGATTTAACATCATATATCAATTTGTCTTCCCTGGCCTCTCCAACAAACTCTTGATATGAAATAAATTTCCCGCCATAGCATTCGTCTTTTGAGTTGATTAGTCAGCTTCTAGCCACCCAACCAATCCTGTTGATCCTGACTTACAGAAAGGGGTGAATGAGGTTCTAAAAGAAAGCCCTCATCCATGTTTCGGTGACTGGGAGAGTCTGCCGAGATTTGCCCGTGGATTCTTTTTTTTCCTTGATTTCGGTTTTCTAATTCAAGAGATTTTTTTTTTTCGTTCGACGATATTGATATGAAGGGATCTCTTTTTTTATTTCTAGTGATGCTTTTGTTTTCACTAGCATTTTTTTTAGATAGTCGTGTTCGTGTCCTTATTTTTTGAAATTTACCGTGTCGCCTTGTGACTTTGTCGCCGAATTCTTGTCCGTGTCTGTGCAATATAGGTCCCTTACATAAGCTTATTTGAGGGATCTTTTAACTGAAGCTTATATATATTGATAAACGGACTGCAATACCACCTGCACAACGACAGTCTTGTCCCAACATGGATTCCTCAGACCGTGCGGCTGCTGCAGATCAAGTTCAATCTTGATTCTGTTTTGCATTAAGTTCACATGCTGCCATTTATTTGTAATCCTAATTCTACACGTATATCAATTCTACTCATATAAATATCAATGTAATTGTTTGCTCCCTAAATCCGCCATGGGCATTGCGGGCATGCCGGTGATTTGCTCACATACGAGATTGGTGGGGTGCGGGCGTGCCACTACTAGATGCCGCTAGTAGACGGGATTTGAATGATTGAGATTGCGCCTGAGTTTGACTTCGAACCAAGAGATTATGCCATTGAGTGGGAGTTACTCAAATTAAGGTTCTTTGTTTGCCTTAAAAATAAGGACTTTACTTATATGGAGAAATAGAACAATATGTAAATGACAAGGTTGCTTGGAAATATAAATGACAGAGGAAAGTGACTAATATATTGCAGATTGCTTGTAGATTAAATGACTGAAAGAGGGTTGTACATAAAAGCTACATATCAGATCGATACTACAAGTGAGTAGCAGAGCTAATAAACAAGAAAAGCAAAGGATGCTTGGCTAAAAATAAATGTCTACAAGGAAACTGATGAGCTAATTTGAGTAGAGTTTTGATTGGTTGTTTTGAGTGTCCATAATCCTTCTCCATCTGCTTCTTTATATAGAGGTCTGGAAGAGCCCCCTTGCTGAGATCTTTGTACTTGCCCGAAAGAAGCTTGGGCAGCTTGCATTGCATTTGTCAACTTGCATGTAGAAACAATATTTAAAAGGGAAACTTGCATCTCCACCACATGTTTTTAGCATATGTCTCACCACTTGTAATAAACTAACAATTAAAAAAGAAGCAAGTTGCATCTCCAACACATGTTTTTTTCCCACTTGCAATAAAATAATTAAAAGAAGCAAACTAGCTTCTTTCACTACCCATTCTTGCCCGAAAGCATGCATGGTATCTTTCCATCCACTTGCATGAAAAAGCATGCACTTATCTTGATTAAACAATTCTCTTGGCAAACCTCCACCACCAAAACAAATGGGAAAAACAATATTATAGTGCCAACCTATCCCACTTGATAGCTAAATATCTTCCAAGTTAGTCTTCTTGCTCATTAATCCTCCAAATCCCATATTAATAAGTAAAAATGGGTATTTTGAGTGCAAACAGTAATCAGCTCACTCATTAATTGAGTTGTGTTCTATAAACATATTAGATTATATTTCATGGTATCATGAGCCCTAGTCTAACGACAAAGGTTAAAGTTCTATTTTTTTTGTTCTTTTTCTTTTCAGCTATGGCGTCCTTCTCTACTGCTGCTGTCTCTATTCCCTCGGTCACCAATTTTCTCACAATCAAGCTCGACCGCAACAACTACCATTTCTGGCGTGCTCAGTTTCTCTCTTTTTCGAAGTCATAATCTGCTCTCCTATGTCACTGGAGACTCTCGCTGCCTTGCTGCCTTTCTATTGGATGACAACGGCAAACTCACCGACAAAGTGAATCCTTTGTACAATGAATGAATTCAAACTAATCAGATGATTCTCTCTTGGATTACTAGTTCTCTTACTCCTAAGGTGCTTGGTACAATTGTCAACATTGGTCGTCTCTCCAAGAACTATATGCTTCTACTTCTCAGAATCGTATTATTCAGATGCATACCGAATTGATGAATACTTCTCGTGGTGATCTTTCTATCACCGATTACACTAGTAGAAAAAATACTTTGTGCCACATAGGTACCTTCGTCCCACAAAGTCAAAAATCGTTGCCTAAGGCGCGATGCAACCTTCGTCGCGCGCTAACCGTCGCGCCAAGGTAGTGACAGTAGGGTTTGCACAACGAAGAAGTAACATGCGTCGTGCAAAGCCACTTTGCGCAACGCACGTCCTACGTCGCGCAAAGCCACTTTGCGCGATGCGGGGCATGCGTCGCACAAAGTCACTTTGCGCGACACAAGTCCCCACGTCACGCAAAGTGACTTTCAACTATCCAACAGTCAAACTTGTTTATATATGCTTCAAGATCGCACGCCAAAAATCGCAAAAAACAAACATTCAGAGATTATGTAACGGGACAAACCTTTTTGACAGCTATAAACGAAAATCAAGATTTAACAGTTATTTTAACTCTGATTTTGATGATTTTTTACAACTACACTCTTTAAACCTATATGAATACAATGAACTAATTCGATCGTCAATTTAAAACACTTACACAAGTGGATACCACAAAAGAAAAAGGTAATGCAAAAACCCCAAAAGATGTTTTGCGCGACGTAGATACAACTACGTCGCGCAAAGGTTTAACAATCCAACCGTCAAACTTGTTTGTATATATTTCGAGATCGCATACGCCAAAAAACGTAAAAAACAAACATTCAAAGATTAAGTAATGGGACAAAACTTTTCGACGGTTATAAACGAAAAATCACTATTTAACGGTTATTTTAACTCTGATTTTGATGATTTTTTACAGTTACACTCCTTGACCCTATATGAATACAACGAATAGATTCGATTGTCAATTTAAAATATTTACCCAAGTGGATACCACAAAATCTTATGTTATACTTAATGAAAGTATAAATAAACTTCAAGTGTTAGTGAATCTATCGTTTTTTATGGAAAACACATTGTACGAAACTAGTTTCAATGATCCAACTGTCAAACTTGTTTGCATATGCTTCGAGATCGTATACGCCAAAAAAGGCAAAAAACAAACATTCAAATATAAGTAACGAGACAAACCTTTTCGATGGCTATAAAAGAAAAATCACGATTTAACGGTTACATTAACTCTGGTTTTGATAATTTTTTACAGCTACACTCTTTAAACCTATATGAATACAATGAACTAATTCAACCGTCAATTTAAAACATTTACACAAGTGGATACCACAAAAGAAAAAGACAATGCAAGAACCCCAAAAGAAAAGCAAAAGGGGAAAAAAAAATTTTTTTGCACGACGTAGGAATTGCGTCGCACAAAACAGCTTTGTGCAACGCAGTTGCACCAATGTCGCGCAAAGTTTTTTATTTTTTGTGCCCTTTTGTTTATGAGTACTAAATAAATAAATTAAAATCTACTTAGTAAATATACCATTGAAGTTGATGGGAAACACATTATACGAAATTAGTTTCAACGATCCAACCGTCAAACATTCAGAGATTATGTAATGGGACAAACCTTTTCGACGGCTATGAACGAAAAATCACGATTTAACAATTATTTTAACTCTGCTTTTGATGATTTTTTATAGCTACACTCTTTAAAGCTATATGAATAC